TCTTCTAGTGGTGAAAAATTGCCTTTTACAAAGCTGGATATTGTTCTGGCTGTGTTGCTAAGCCGGTATGAGTGGTGGGCCTTGTTTTCTCTTGAGTTAGGTGAAGGCTTGTAGATAGAGTACTGAATTCCTGTAATTTTCATATCCAGAAGTGGGGTAAAGAGGTAAGCATAGCTACAAATTTCTATTTCTGGAAAAAATTACCTCTAAGGATGTACAATAAAATAGTCTTATCTGCATCGATCCCAAACTCATAATCCTTGAAGTTTAAGAGAAAAAAAAAAACGGGGGCAATATTTACTGCCTTGATTTTATAACACTAATCTTTTGTCCCTTTCTGGTCCTGTCCATCTAGTAGTCTTTCCCTCTCCTTATTATTGCTGTTGTTCTCAAGAGAGCATTAAACTCATAAGCAGTCCAGCTGTTACAGAGAAACAGCAAAAAGTGAAAGGCTGGAAAAGAATTGGGAAACTTGTAACATTAACCCAACATCACTGCCCAAGGGACAAAGCACTAATGGCTAAAAACCTAAATCACAATCTTGACTTCGTCTAAACCTGCATATTTACATCCACAATCACTGAGATCAGAACATGCTTGTCTGAGGGCAGTTATAGGCACGGAAAGGCTAACAACATTGTTAGTGATAAACAGCAGTGGGTTTATGAAACAGGAGTACAGCAGACAATAACCTTTCTTGATACAATTAGATAATTAGTGGACAAAAGGAATGCAGTGGATAGACTGTCTCTGGACCATGCATGGGCTTTTGACACAAAGCTGTGCAAGATCTTATTAGGGAAATTAGATCAAATTGGTTTTGATACAGATCCTGTGAAATGAATCGTGGATTAGCTGACAGAGTGTAAACAGAAGGGTTAGAGACATTCTTTATCCTTCTGCAAAGGTGGTGTCCAAAGGGGCAGTGTTTTGGTTTTAAATATTCATTAGTGACCTGGAATAAAATGTAAAAGGCATAGTTCTCAAATTTACAGTTGACAGAACTGAAAGATACTAGAAAAAAATTAAGAGTAGAAAAAAAGAAGAGCTAGGCTGAAAAAATTAGCATTATTAACAGGCTTTGGTAAAACAAGTGGCAATTAGCAGTGTGTGGTTTAAAGATGATACTGGATCTACTTTGGAACGAGGAGAATCTCCAAATTTCATGTTGTGCAGATCGCAGTGGCAAAAACAGCTTATGTTCAGAGAGGTCCCAGTGAGACAGTGGCTATCAAATGATGTGAGCTGATGTGCAACCCAGTGTCTGGCAAAGCGACTGCTCAGTTGGTCCATATGTCTTCCCAGCTATGTGCTTTCCAGAGTGACTCTCCCCTGTAGTGCTGTGGCACTGCACTGCGCGATTCGGGGCACCTTGCTGCAAGAGAGACCCAGGCAAGTTGGAACAAATCCAGAGAAGGGCCACAAAGATGCTAAAGGGATTAGAGGGAATGACCTATGATGAGGAAAGGTGAAAAGAACGAAATGTTTAGAACCTCTAAGCCTGTTACATGGGCACAGAAATAGTAACGGAGTTTCCTGTGCCAGCATGGAGGAGAGTTGGATCAAGTCTCTCTCCTTTTACATTCCTATTAAGGTAACTAGAGCTGAGCAAAATGGCTGTTCATCACTTTGAACTCTTTGCAGAAAACATTTAGCTGTTCTTGAAGTTCAGGATGTCGTATTTCATTGCCAGGGGCCAGTCTGAGTCTGTTTAAAAATCACCACGGGATCTCCATGAGATTTGCAGAAAGTCAGAGTTGGTGAGGCTTAACTCAGTGTGTGCTACCCAGCAATAAACAACTATGCAAGTTGTACCAAAGGCCAGAAAATTAAAACACAAGCTCTGAAATGGCTGGAGTCGCCTTAGCTAGGACCTTTGATCTGTCTTGGTGTTAAGGACTTTTGCCTCCAAAGCATGTGTTTGCATCTAACCAGAACTCGTTATGTATTATTGTATCCTGGAAGGGAGCAGGAGGTCCTCATCTGTAAGGATGTAGGGGCTTTGTGGCTATCCTTGATTTGCCAGCACAGTCACTGTTGGCCTGCCTTGGGGGAGAAGGCTCCTTAATTGGTAATGTGAGTTGAAAAGTAAGTTGGTCTTAGGACACTGATGCCTTTTTTTTTTTTTTTTTTCAGTGGAAATACCTTAGTGGGTCCTCTTGCAGTCCTCTGTGATTTTGAGGCTTTTTAAGAGACAGAAGCTGGGATTTGAACTCCGCTGACTGAATCTGACAGTACAGCTCACCTCCTTGTCATGTCTTTTTCATAGTGTTGTCCTCTGTCTGCCCTTAACATTACAAGTCCAACTCCCTTTGCTGTGGAGTTCCTCAGTGCAGAACAGTGTTTTATAGTGGTTTTTGCCTTCCATTTTGACCCTACTCTCATGTTATTGTGTCCAAGGATCTTCAGATTTTTACTACAAAACGCACTTCTTGGGTAAGGGAAGGTTCCAGAATCTGGCCAGAACAACAGCTTTCAACTTTGCTGTGAAATGCTAAGATCTGGTCTCAGCTAGCAAAGCTTCATCTTCCTCCACAGAGTCAGCTGGCATTACACCAGGAGATCTGCAAAATGTCTAGGTGCCCTGCGGGATTAAAGATGAATGCACCTGCAGCAATTATTCCTGTAACTGCTCCATGGCCTCTACTCCAGTGTGACCCTCTGGGCAAAGCATGGGCATTCATCAACTCATCACGCTGTCTCTGAGAGGGACCAAACTCTGGATTCCTCTCAAGTAACACCAGGCAAAGCAGCTGAGGAACGTGAGATGCCTGCTCATACTCTCAAGGTCAATAGTCTTGCCAAATAACAAACTTGGCTGATCGATCCCAGAGATAGGAGATGAGGTCAAACATTGAGGATGAAACAGAGAAAGGAAAATTAGGAGATACTTGGGTCAAATGAGATCATAAAGATGCAGGACTGTTAAGTTGCTGCATATCAAACATCTACATTCGTATCAGCAGACACACAGATGTGATATATGTACATGTGCACTCCAGCCTGGCTGTATCACAGAATGTTTTGTCCTGTCCCCAGATAGGTTTGACCTCTTGGCAGAAGGAGTTGCCACAAATACCAGGTAAATAGGCTGAAACTGAAATAGAAATTACCCACATGACCATGGTATGGTAACTTTAAACTAGCAGAGCTTCCAAGAAGAAAAGTCAAACATCCCCAGTCAGTCAGAATTCTTTGGACATGTCACCAGGAAAATGCATGTATTTAGGTTTTCTTAAAAGCCTTTGACAAATCATCTTGCTGAAGGAAAAATTTAACCTCTTGGGTTAATACTATTATCAATTAGAAAGTGTCTGAGACAGAAAAGAAAGGGTAAACATACCCTAGCCAGAAAAGAAAGAGAAGTCAATTTTCAGCATGATAAAGGTTAACATGAATCACCCACAAAGATCAGTGTTATGATGTTTGATCCATGTGTTAATGATCTGGGAAGTGAGTGAACAGTGAGTCTCTGCAAATGACATAAAATTATCAAGGAAAACTGAAGAACTCCAGAGAATCCTAATAAAGCTGGGTGCATGGACAGCACAGTGGTAGATGAAATACCGCATTGACCATTGCAAACCATTGCACACCAGAAGGCATTAATTTGATTTTTCATACATCTTAATGGCTTCTGAATTAACTGTAGCAACTCAGGAAAAGATCTGAGGATTGCAATACGTAACTTGCTGATATTCCCTGTCGAAGAAATGGTAACAATTTAGATTTTAATTTAAAGAGAAAAAAGAAAACAACGTAAGGAGTTATACAATAGATAGGCTGAAAATAAAGTTGAAAATATGGTAACCTCAGTAGGTAATTGATGGCATGCCTTTGTCTTGACTACTGTCCAGACCTTCAGCTGGAGAAGTGATGGAGCGGTGCCAGTTTCATGCTACTGAGGAGCTGGCTCATTGAACTCTGTTCTGGACTGAACAGAAATAGCCAGACTAGAGGAAGTTCAGAGATGGATGATGAAGCAGATAAGAGGTCTGCAAAAACTTCTGCATGAAGAACAATTACATAGTTAATGAAGAGCTGAATGAGGAGAACATGGAAAAAGTACATTTCCTGAGGAGAGTCAGGAGATGGTGAGGGAGCCTGAAAGGCTACAAATACAGTATACGCAAATAAAAATGGGATTTTTTTGTTTGCTTATATACTGTACAAGTAATCCCTGGAGCTCATTGCCATAAAATATCATAAAACTTAGCAGTGCTCTAAAAAAAGACTGAACATTTATATAAGGAGTAAGTCTATCTGTGACTAAAATAAGTAAGAGCTTGTAAATTTGGTAAAGATGCAGTTCTTTCCATATATTTAAGAGCATAACCCTCTCTCTAAGAAGTGGGAATTTTAGGGAAGCGTTTCCATGCAAAAGCCCTGTACTAGTAAATAGAAGAAAGATTAAGATTGAAGATTAAACTGGAGGAAACTTTTGACCAGATGATTTTCCTTCAGTTTCTAAGTTTCTCTTCCAGTGATGTTAGTGAAGTGGGGGGTAAGGAATCCAACATGAAAATTAATCAAAGACTTCTGTATTACAGATGAAAATCCAGTATGAGCAGGTCCTTTCTACAGGGTCTGCTGGTAAACTTTTTGCTTAGAGCCAGGGCAGCACATCCTGAACTAACCAAATAACTTTTTCACCTGGTCTGCCACACTCAGGCTCATTTCTTTCTGCTATCCCAGGGGTGAATTGTGCTCTGGGTAGATTGTGCCTCATTAGCACTGATGCCCCTTCCCAGCCTGTGAACATCCTGAAATTATGATCTACACAAATAGCCTTGTCTTTATTCTAGTGTGAGTTTGTGGGGAGTAGGCGGGCTGTTCTTAGTGAGTTGTACAGATGTTCCTGAAGGAGAAGGACCTGGGTGGGGTTGAACTTCCCGAGCCAACTGGAGTTGGACTGAGGTGGCAAAAGGAGGTCTTTTTTGACCAACCTGGAGCTGGGATTGGCCAGGAGGCCTCTGAGTGCCTTTGCTCTCTTCCCGCAGGCTGCTCGGCAGAATGGCCACAGAGGAGCGGCACCTCTCCTCCAGCTGTGGGTCCTTCATCAAGACCGAGCCCTCCAGCCCTTCTTCTGGCATCGACGCCATCAGCCACCACAGCCCAAGCGGCTCCTCCGACGCCAGCGGTGGTTACGGCATCGCCATGGGTGGCCACCCCAATGGCCTGGACTCGCCACCCATGTTCAACGGCACGGGGATTGGCGGTGGGTCCTGCCGAAAGCGTTACGACGACTGCGCCAGCGCCATCATGGAGGACTCGCCCACCAAGTGCGAGTATATGCTTAATGCAATCCCCAAGCGGCTGTGCCTGGTGTGCGGGGACATTGCTTCTGGATACCACTACGGCGTGGCTTCCTGTGAGGCGTGCAAAGCCTTCTTCAAGAGGACAATTCAAGGTATGGGGGGAAGGGAGGGAAAGTAAAACATTCACTCCATAGCAAAAAAGGGAGGCGGCCCCAGGCATTGCTGAGACTTCAGTGTTCATATGTCATATGAAAGGGGGGAAGGGGGGGTGAATGTAATGCACCTAACCCTCCACCCTTTTGTATGCTTCCTCTTTTCTCCTGCTCAACTCTGGTCCTTCCAAATCAATCTGGACATGGAGTTAGGCTTTGTGGTGGGGGGGACCTTTGCCAAGTTCCTATCCCGGCTTGCTACAGATCTGAGTATCTGGCCTAGTGGATATTCCTGCCTCTGCTAATGGCACTGGTACCATGATAATGTGGCTGCTAGTGGAGTGAGGTCTGGAAAGGAAATGCTTTGCACTCTACAGGTGATTTTAAGGCCCATTTGAAGAATGGATGCCCCTGCCTAGACATGACGTCTCTGTAGAGATGTCTGCACCTTGAGGTGAAAGCCTCAGCATTACAGGACTAAAGAGGTTCTCACTCTGTCCTATCAGTCTTAATTTGTGGCCATGGACTCCATACAGGCTCACCACAGGGCTGGACAGGGCACTTGGATGAGACTCAATCCTGTGTTCCTCCTTTTCCAGTTCCAACCCTTTTCATTAAGATGCAACTTCTTTGAAGATAAAAAAAGGAGGCACTGAAGGAGATAGAGATACCCAGTTTTTGTCAATCCTATTAAGGATGAGAAATTCCTTGGGTGATTTTGAAAACCTGAGTGCATGTATACATAGATGAATTGCAGTTTGTTGCTCCTGCATGTACAATTCACATATGATGTGTATGGCTGTGTCCTGACTGCCAAAGGTACCCTGCAGACATGCTCACACACAGGTACAACAGCATAGCCAAAAGTGGGAGTATATCCAGGCAAGCTCCAATATCCAGGAATGCTTGGATGTACTTACACAAGCAGTCCCAGTGTGAGCGAACATGCCTGGATGTACAGATATTCCCTTTATTTCCTACACTCTAACTGGAAAAAGGACAGAAATATTCACCTTCCAGTGAAAAGCGTATTGAGTTTATCCAACCATGGTGGGTTGACTGGAGACAGATATCCAGTGAGCAAGCAGCTGTGTGTGTACTTGGATATTGGCTGGGGTCAATCCACCATGCTAACACTTCCTTGTCTCCTGTGAAATGAAAGAAATGCATAAGTGGGGAGAGCACTCGTTTTATTTCTGTTCATTGAATGGGCCTGATTATATTCTGTCACTGGGGATGTTCAACTCTGGAGTGGACAGAGCAGTACAGGGTGCAGGCCAGCCCAGGTCTCTGCAGGGTTCACTATTTCTAGCTTAATTCCTTAGATTCTAAATGTCTGTCCTTACTATTATCCAGCTGTGCAAATTATCACCTTGCATTGCCCCACTGACTCTTCCTCTTTTATTATGCCCTGTGGAAAGCATGGCCATTTCCAGGGCATTGGCCAGTTCCCTGTCATGGTTTCTGTGACGTGTCATTGCTGAATCTCCTGTGACTGAATGTGAACTTCTACTTGCACTTCTGACTGTCAGCACTGACTGTCCCTCCTCCAGCACTTGGACCCATTCCTAGTGTTTCTCGTTTTGGCACATTCAGGTGGTAAAGGAGGGACAGGGTAGTAGTCTGAAGAAATGCCCTGGGGGCTACTTTCAGTCTCAGAAGAGACTGAAAAACTGACCCTTCATGGGAGTGATATTGAAGCATCTCTGTGACAGAGCAGAAGAGAGACATAACCTGGAGAGAGAGAAAAAGACCTAGGAACTTTTGAAGAGTTTTCATAGAGAATCAAAAGAAAATAATGCAGGGCAGCAGTACCTAGATGATACATCAGCCTGGGTGCTATGTCAGCTGGCTTAATGTCAAGAAGGGAGAGCGCTTCCTTCCAACACCCTCTTGTCAGCACAGCCATATTCTCCCTGTGGTTCCCTAATTGCTAACGTGTAACAGATGGGGGAAGGAAGATGCCTCTCACCCAGTCATCAGCTTGGGCTGGCAACTGAGATACCAAAATGCTTTTATTCCCGAGTGGGAGAGTCAAGTGTGCTGTGTTCAAGGGTGAGCAATTCCAGCTGTGGAGCTGAAGGCTGACCCCAGGGGAGTGGGCAGCAAATAGGGCTGCAGAGTCTGGCTGAGTCAAGGAAATGCACCATTCGCCGGGGTCTGCTGCAGTACATGTGATATCCAAGCACAGCCCTGGGTATGCAAGTGAGAAGAGTTTAAGGTAAAAGAGACGTAAAAGAGTGGTAAAAGCATTTCCAAAAGGTGTTCATCCTGCAACTGTGTTATATTCAGGAGATGTGTTAAGCATCTAGCTGAATTAGTGGGAAAATCTTCATCCAGGCTGCCTAACATCGATGTAGAATATGCAGAAAGCATGCAGATGTGTATGTTAGACAATTGCGTTCCCTGCTAGTAGCAAAAGATTTGCCGTGATTCTGGTATCTGGGAATGGCATTGACTCAATAGTTTGAACACAGAGATGAAGCTATGACCCCAGGATTTCCCAGATGCTCAGGAGATACAGTAGGTAAATTCATTATCAGGCTTTTGTGGTCTCGGCCAGTTCACTTTTCTGTGCTTGAGTATTGAAAGAAAAACTAATGACTGTTATGAGAGTACCTAATGTGCTGGCCCTACATTTGGTAACTTTATGAAGTAATAGGTGTGCATGCTGCTACAAAATGGGGCTAAATCTGTCCTAGATGATTACATTACTGCAGCACTATCCAGATACCCCTGACCAAGAAGCAGAGCTTCACGCTAAGTCCCCCCTCCAACTACCCTCTCTTCTGCTACGAATGACCCCGGTCTGCCTATTGTTTTTTTTAACTGCATTAACTCATGTAAAACCTGCATGTCTTGAAGCAGGAGGATCTTGCAATAGCCTCTCCGCTCCCCCTGCTGCTGCTACAGCAGTGGGAAGAATAGACGTCCAAGCTGCAGACCTTTTTTGAGCCTTACAGCTCTGCAACTCACTTTCCCCCTCAGCCAGGTGAAGCCAGGCCCAGGTGAGGTCAGGCTATCCTGGACAGCACAAGGGCTGTTGCTTTTCAAGTGATGGGGAGAAGATAGGCTGAAAGCCAGCATGGACATGGCTGGTTATCTCTGAGGTCACCGCTATTGCTATGTGGGAGTTTTCCATCAGTAGGATTTTTCCAGAGAATAGCATAATTTTTACCAAGTCAGGTTTCCCCAAGGAAGATTTTGATGGTAAGAGAGAAAAAGAAGTCAGGAAAATCCAAACCGTTGATTCACTTCAAGCTGAATTGGAGTGTTTGGTTTTGCTGAACTAAGCCAGGATCACACAACACATCCTAACCTGTCCCACAGGTTATGGGAGGGTCACACCTGTGACCTCTCTCATGTTGTGTTACATGGCCCAAGAGAAGGATCAAGGCTTGGAAACCTGTGTGTCATTGCCACTTTGCAGCACTGGCAATGCTTGAGATGGAAAGGGAAAAACCTGAGACAAGATGACAGCACGCACCACTGGGCTGCAGGCCCTTCTCTCTGAACATGTTATTTTGAATCCCAGGGCTGGACTTCTCACACTTTGAGACAGAGTCAGAAATTCTGAACTGACTCGAAGCATTTTTGGTCAGCTAGGCTGTCTGACAAAATTTTAATCTTATTTTTCTCTCATTGTATTGCTTTGTGGGAGCTGTGCTTTGGGTCCCCATTATATTCTAGTGGCAGTCTGCATTTACCTTCATGATGGAAACATCCTTCATAAAAACATGTGCCATGGGCATTACGTGACTTTGTGAACATTGTGGAAGGTGCAATTTGGCAAAGATAGGAAAGAGTCTGAGTTTTGGACACAGGTTGAAATGAGCTGCTATTGGTGCTTAAGAGATGTCTCATTTGAAACCAAGAATTTCATATTAGTTGAATGGAATGGATTGGGTCTGTTACATGAAAGATAATGTGTTTTGGATGTTTCTGAATGAAAACTTTTAAAATTTCTATTCCATGGAAATCCTAACTAATCCTTTCACCTAAATTTAGGACAAAGGCAAATGCTGGATTTCTTACAGGATACAATTTCTTAGTCTATTCCTTCTTTTAATAGTTTGCTCAGTAGATAGAGCATTATATATCAATCAAATATATTGTCATTATCTTTTGTTCATCAGTCGTTATAACCGGTAGGTAGTTTTGCCTATTCTGAATATTAACTAATAACAGTGCTATGTAACCATACGAGTCTTTTATTATTCAACATATTCATGACTATGACTACCCTTCATCTATTTTTCATCTTCAAATAGTGAAAATTAAGGCTATATCTAAAATGACCCATTAATATAAAATAAAAGCTTAAAGCTCAGCAAAATAAATCTGATTTAAGAGTTCTGTCTCTGATCTTTGTGAATCATCTCATTGTGTGCTTGGAAGTCATACCCATAAGGTGATATAACAGGACTTGCAAGGAGTGATGTTGGGGAGAACTGGTTATTGGAGAGTCAGAGAGAAGAGACACATTGCCATCATCTTCTGAATAGACAGACTGTGTACCAGGCAAAGTGCCTGCATCTGTGGATTCCCTGCTTTTCCCTTGCAAATTTCAAACTCAGTGACTGTAGCAACACAGCTGCTGTGCTGGGATGCCCTTACACCAATAAGGGGCTTAAAATGTGGATAATCTCACTTAGAAGATTTGTAGGGATTTCTAACAGGCTTGTAACAAATTCTGTAGTCTTCTAGGGCTTCCTGGTTGTTATTACGGTGGTTAGAGTGGCTCCTGGGAAAGGAGGAGCAGTTGAGTGAGTTTGCTCATTTTCCTGAGCAGAAGAGCATAACTATCCATATTTTTCAAGTGGGAGTTCACAGCCAAAAAACCAGGAAATATTCTGAGCTTTCAAAAAACTTTTGAAGCTTAACCAGAGAAAGTATGGATCTAGTGCCTGAGTGCTGCTTACTATTTACAGCTTTAGCACATGGACTCAGAAAACTATCTCCAGTGCAACTCAACTCTTGTGTTTTCTTTTTGCCTCAGT